TTAGCCGACCTACCCCATTCTTACATATATTGTGTATACCCCTCAGATTGCAATCTTGTGTTTATTACAAGCAGCAGCAGCATCACTTGGGCCAGATTCTGCAACCCTTACTCAGAGGGTATATCTACATAGCAGTTGGGAGGCATGATTCCCAGCTCAAGTAGAAGTATATACCTTAGTTCTGATGGGGCTAGTGCCTAAAAAATAGCACTGTAGCGGTTGCCTGTACTGCTGCAGCTGAGACTGAGGCCTTGGCTACACTGGCGCTGTACAGCGCTGCAACTTGCTGCGCTCAGGGATGTGAACCCCCCCCCCCCCCCCCCCCCCCCGAGTGCAGCGCTGTAAAGCGCCAGTGTAATCAGTGCCTGCAGCGCTGCACGCTCGCTCGTAGCCCTGCAAGCTATTCCCCTCGGAGAGGTGGAGTACTTGCAGCGCTGCGAGAGAGCTCTTGCAGCGCTGGCGGCACGACTACACTTGCGCTTCTGTGAATTCTCAAGTGTAGCCAAGGCCTGACTGAGCAAGTGCATATCAAGGGGATCAGGCAGGACTTTGCTCAGGTGGCTAGCCTGAGAAACTGTGGACAAACTGCTGTTTTTAGGCACTAGCTCAAGCAGAATTAGCATGCATTCATCTACTTGAGATGGAAATCATACCTCCCAGCGGCTATGTAGATTACCCAGACTGAGTAGTACCTTCATCCGCAACTACTGAAATCCATGCTATTAAGTGAGAGAAGCTATTACTCAGCATGAGAATGGGTGGCAGAATCGAGAGACTTTTTTACATTAATCCCAGATGTTAGCCACTTTGTACAGTACACACCCCTCCTCCCAAAAACACTGCAGAGCGTGAGAGGTTTAAAAAGTGTCTGTTTAGTTGGTAATAAAGCAGAATTGACAAGACTTTGTGATTCCTCTTTGAGCCCCTACACCCCATGATCACATCTTTTCAGAAGCACAGTGGCCACCAGAAAGTGATTTTAAATAAGTTTCAGTTATAGATTTCAAATGTGATCAAAATTTAGTTTAGAAAGCACTCATTGCTACATAGGCACCAAACTGCTGTGCTGAGAAAATTGACCATAGCTTCCACTTAGAAGGCCATCAGTTTCTAATCCACTGGGATAATATTCCCATTAAGATTTACAACAAGGCTCAGTGATTCCGTTTTACTTTGAGAGATCTTTAGCTAAGGCAGTAGTTGTCATCAATGCTCCTTTCCCACATTTACAATCTTCTTTGACTTAAGCAGAAACCTTTGATGCATTATAAGAAGTCCTACTCAGTCATAATTATCTTTTCCCCAGGTTTGGGGAAAAACTCTCCTAGTTTGTTTCAATAGATGAGAAGCACCCCAAGGATACACTGATCTTGCTCTCGTCACATTTATAGCACAGAAAGTTGTTTGACCCTAACTCCTTGGTTTGGATTGCATCTTCAGAATATTGTTATATCCGCTAAAGCATGGATCCCAGATTTCTCAAAATTGGACCTTTTAAGTAAGCTTTAGTGAAACTGAAGACTACACTCAAAGAGATATTAAGAAAGTCTGAGACCTCTTCTTATTCCTCCCTTACATATATGATCTCCATTATATTTGTGTTGTATAGCACACACAGGTATGCTATGGACAAAGTTCAACACACTTCGTCCTGGGACAGGAGGTGGAAATCTATGTTTGAGTTGGTAGGCTTATCTTGTGTTTTTCTATCACTTGTATTCTCTGATCTTTGGTCCAGGTTTTATTTTGTTTTTTTAACATAACTTGAGAAATGTTTGCTTAATTGATAAAATTGTGATGTGCAGTATTTTTAGACACGTGTCTGATAAAGGTAATCTGTAAGGATAAGGCCTTTGTCTGCAGCCAGATTAAAAGAGCAGCCAAGCAGCAGCCATTAGCTGAAAAGCAGGAAGTCTTATTCTCACATTCCATCTAAATTACATTAAAACAATGTAATATCAGGCTGTTAAGGAGACCCTGTCCTAATGGCACCCACTACCACCAGAAAAAGAAACAGATCTTAAGATGGTTAAAGAAAACTTAGTTTGATAGCATCTTGTCTGTTAAGAAATCACTTATCAGCAGTTGTGGTTGTGAAATCCTCATTTCTTTATTGTTTTATCATTACGGTCCCCACTTCCCTATTGTTTATCTGTCTGGTTCTTTAATTGTTTGTCTGATACACCTAGCAAAATTAATTATGTAAATTAATTAAGGTGGTGGGATAGGATTGATTAAAGAATTTTGTTATACTATGTTAGGATTGGTTAGATAGATTTCAGTAAAATGATTGGTTAAGGTACAGCTAAGCAGAACTCAAATTTCACTATATAAACTGGGGTCCAAAAGGAAGTTCTTTGGGAACCAACTCCAGGACACAGCCCCAAAGATCAGAGCTGCCAGACCTCAACACTCTGCCAATGACACCGTGCAGAAACTGGAATCCCCCAGATGACCTGATCCTGACTGGCCATCAAGGAAAGTTCATCTGTCTTACTGGGAGTGGTGAGCACTGTATGTGTAGCACATGCAGTATGTTTTTGGTGATTGTTAATAAATAGAGGTTATGTAGTATATTACTGTGTAAGGCTCTTTCACTGGTAAAAGACCCTGTAAACCCCAAAAGATTAAGCCCTGAGTCCACATGGAAAGGGTGTTTGCCCGAAGCCCACGGAGGAGTAGAGCCCAGAGCCCACAGAGGAGTAAAGTTAGATGCTTTTTGCCTGGAGCCCTAGGAACTGAGAAAGGGTGGGGGTGCCTAAATTAAGAGGGTTACGCCTTGAGCCCTAGGAACTGGGTAAAGGTGCGTGCCCTTGAGTGTCTGAGTAACAGAGAATTTTGTGCAGGTAATACATCCTACAAACAGCAAATACATCTAAACGATTTTGTTTTCTTGCAGTAAGAACACGATAGGGCAGCATGACACAGATGTTGCCCTGCAACTGGGGGTCAAGTTACCCCAGAATTTGATCAAGCTAATTGCAATCATTGTGTGCATTCAGCCACCAGGAATTAACTAAACAGAACAGCACATGGGTAAGGGTTCATTTGAATAAGCAGGGCTTCTGGAGGCAAGGTCAAATGCTGGCTGCAGGCTTGCGGTTTCGGCTAATCAGAAAGAGAGGAGGGGAGAAGAGTGTCAATAAATTGAGACAAACAAAGTAAGTGGCTGGAGATCTTGAGTTTGGGCGCCTTTGATATAGAAGCTTATTATGACTAAAGCAATGTCTACACTGCGCTCCTTACAGTGGCAGAGCTGTGCCGCTACAGCAGAGCCGCTGTAAGGCACACAGCGTAGCTGCTCTTTGTGCCAACAAAATAAAGCCACCCCCAACAAGGGGGCAGGAGAGCATCTCCTGCCAACAAAGCACTGTCCACACCAGTGCTCTTTGTCAGTAAAACTTTTTTTGGTCAGGGAGGTGGTGTTTTTTTCCCCACACCCTTGACCAACAAAAGTTTTACTGATGAAAGT